CTCGGGGCGCCCCGCCACCCGGAGTGACTGTAACCTCGGTCAGGCCCTGCCCAAGGGACGGGGATTTGGCGAAGCCCCGCCTCCCACCCGCGGGCAAGTGCTGAGCCCCGGGGCATGCAGCGAGTAGGGCTAAGGGCCAGGAGGGTGGAGAGCGGGTGTTTTACGAGCATTAATTTGTGAAGTGTAAGCATGTGAAATATAGTATAGTACGATTTTCGACCACTGTTTTGGCAATTTTTTATTTTTAATTATGCATCAAAATAGAGATTTAAATATCCCTACCTGCCGAAAAAACGGAAGAGGTCGCTACGCTCAAGGAGCTGAAAGTTCACTGCGGAGACGAGACAAACCACACTAGGTCTTATTTCTTCTATCTAACCGTACATTTATACCCATTAATCCAAATGGCCCTTTTACCACATGAAACTCATCGTCAGACATAGATCCTGGCATTTTCTCCCATGTATATTAGTTATTTCTGCCCATGGCCTGTATCTCTAACACAGAGCCTCTGAACTACAGCACCATGGCCTGTATCTCTAACACAGAGCCTCTGAACTACAGCACCTGTCTCTTATACACATCTAGATGTGTATAAGAGACAGCCTCTGAACTACAGCACTACTGACATTTTGGGCCAGATAATTATTTGTGACAGGTGCTGCCCTGGGCATTGTGGGATATTTACAGCATCCCTGGCCTGCTTACACTAGAAGTCAATAGCTAGCCCCTACCCCTCACTCATGACAATCAAAAATATCTCCACATTTTACCAGTTGCCTCCTAGGGGCAAATTCATCACTGAGAGAGAACCAGAGCTCTAACACTCTCATAACCTTCTTGATAGCAGACCCCTGTATTATATACATCTTTGTGCCACTTCCCACACACAGAGCCTTGTACACAGCAGCCACAGATGTTTGTTCAGTAAACTTGTGCCAGGTAAAACACACAGAAATATGTCACTAGAGAAGAGGATGCAGCCAGCAGCACATTTTGTTGTCAGAAGCTTCATTATCAGAAATAGAACTGCTAGGAGACTGGGTGGAGAGGAGAGCACCATCGATTTAGTGCCCGTTATATCCAAGGCACTGTGCTAAGTGATCTGCCTGTGCTATTTCATTTTACTCCACACAATAATCCTATGCAGATTAGAAAGCTGAGGCATGAGAGTCTCAGACACTTGTCCAGAAGAGTAGGAATTTGAACCCAAGTCTTCAATGGCTAGAGTTCCACTTAACCACACCTTTGTTCAGCAAGGCAAAGGCTTGTTGGGAATCAAGTATTTATTTCCCTTAGAGTTTTTCTGAAAACAATTGCTTAACCCTCAAAACACCAAAAGTTGACACAGGTCCATCATTGACAGCAGAAATATGACTCGATATTTATGGATGACTTGTCAAAGCATGCTTAATGTTAAAATAAGAATGTGAACTAACATTATTGATCACTTATTAATGTGCCAAGCAGTCTTCTGAGCCTTTTATATGTATTCTGTTATTTTTTACCAGAAAAACATTTGCTGTTTCGAGGTCACTGGGATGAAGATGAGCTGTTGTAATTCAAAGACCCGAATTTCAGCCCCAGCACCGACATCCAGTTTTCCGTGAGAGAAATGACTGAAATCGTACATCTCCTGTTTACCATTAAGGGTTGCTGAAGCATCAGAGGTGAGCAAGCATACGGTCAAAGCATTTTGTACATGGTAAAGTGCCACTCATCTTTCTATAGAGAGATAGGGAGACAGGATCTCGCTCTGTTACTCAGAGTGGCATGATCATAGCTCACTACAGCCTTGAGCTCCTGGGCTCAAGCAATCCTCCAGCCTCAGCCTCCCATAGCTGGGACTACAGATACACGCCGTCAGGCCCAACTAATTTTTTTTATTTTTTGTAGAGATAAGGTCTCACTACATTGCCCAGGCTCAGAAATTCTCATCTTTATTTTCATTGTGGAGAGGCCACTAAAGTGAGCCCCAATTATGAGGAAGGAAACTGACATTTCCATTAATATGTCCCTCTGCTTCCTTGACACTCTCCAAGTGAGATTCCTGGGACCCCTATTGGTTAACAGTGCAACTTCCTGAACCCCCCTTCAGCCTTCTGTGACCAACTAAAAAATTTTACTGCTCCACTTCTGCCCAACTTTGGTCCCCAGAGATATGGAGAGAGTGGCTGTTGCCAGTCTCACATGATGTTAAGTTGATATTCAGGAATAAGGTAAAAGTCAAAATGTCAAAGTCCACAGTATCAGATAGAGAAGAAAGAATATTTCATTCCTAGTGTCTACAGATTAAAAGGAAAACCTAGATCTTCCACTATTAGAAGAGATCAATACTCCAGCAGTGTGGCTACTATTTGCTAATACACTAGAAAAACACTTTTCTGTCCCATTTCAGATAACGTAGAAGGAGGTGCAGGAGAGAGGAATGTTAAATGTTGGATTCCAGGCTGTCCCAACAGACACAAATTAATTCTAGTCACAATTTACCCCCAGCAGATTCACACAGTGAGAAATTCATAAGACCCTATTTACATATTTCAGTATTAAAGCCCCAAGAACCAGGGTCATTTGATGGTATTAATTACAGTCCTAAAGATTCTGACAGCAGTGACATTTCAGAGAAAGAAATGCCAGAACACCCACGCATCAGAGAGATCGACATTTGACACTGTGCATTGTGGGCGATATTCAGGTGCTAATCATTCCATTTTTGTTTTCCTTCTACCATATGCATTTTTTGAGATTGGTTTGCATCTCTTTATCATCAGAGCTACTTGGTTTTGCTTATTACTAACTCCTTTATCATTATGAGGTCCACACCAGGGTTATTTAAATACTTGAAACAGGAACAATTAAACCCTCTGCTGAAACGTTAGTCTAGGAGGAGATATAAGGTTACTTCCTTCAGTAACACACTCCGCTACATAGTCAGGTGAAGATTGTCTCTGTAGAGGCTTCCGGATGTGTTTATAGTAAACATGGACTGTGCAAGCTTGCGCTGAAGGAGGACGAGGGGATGGACTTAAAATCTTGAAATAGAGTGTTTGGAAGAGCTGACCTTGGAGCAGAGCATTGCCGAGTATCTGAAAGATGTCAACGACCCTCGCTGCTGCTCGGAGACCTTGGGGATGACCTGCACCCACTAGCATGCCTGGATGGTTCAAAAAGGCGTGGTATGGGCTGGCGTCTTTACTCAGCTTCTCCTCCTTCATCCTGATCATCGTTGCCCTGGTAGTGCCCCACTGGCTGAGTGGGAAAATCCTTTGTCAGACTGGAGTGGATCTGGTCAACGCCACAGACAGAGAGCTGGTCAAGTTTATTGGGGACATTTACTACGGGCTCTTCCGAGGGTGTAAGGTGCGGCAGTGTGGGCTTGGGAGCCGCCAGTCTCAATTCACGAGTAAGTATATTGGGGGCATGGAAGCTGTTTCTAGGCACTTGTTTTTGTTACTGTGCAAGAGTGCTTTTGTCTCATTGTGGAATTTGGCTGCTGCCTCAATCTCAGGCATAATGTCAAAGTCCACAGTGAGCCAAGGGTTCTGGACCCACATCAAAAAGATCTTTCCTTCCTTCCTTCTTTTCTTTTTCTGTAGAGGTGTATAGAAACATTAGATAGAAACAAGGATTTGTGCATTTTTGCAGGTTACCTCTATTAATAATGACTATTGAAACATGGGGGGTTTACATGTGTCAGACATTCTACTAAGTACCTCACACCACTTGTCTCCTTAAAGACTTACAACAAACTTATATAGAAGGACTTGTTAATGTTCCCATTTTCCAGAGGAGTACACTGAGGCTTGGAGAGGTTACATAACTTACCTGAGGTCACCCAGCCAGGAAACAGTAGAGCCGGACTCCAGACCAATGCCACGTGACCACAACAAGTGTGTGGAGGCTGCCTGCAGAACTGAACCTTTGGGAAGCATGATGAACACTTCCATGTCTACTTTTGTAAAAACTGCATAGTCTGAGAAGATGCACGGGGCACTGTTCTTGGGTTCTGGAATCAGACTACCCCGGCTGGAACCCCTACTGGAAAGTTTCCTGGCGGGGAGACCTCAAGCAAGGCACTTGCCTGCTCTTGTGAACGTGAGCGGGCATGGACTTTGGCTGGTGTTCAGTGTGGCATCAGAGCTGCCCAGGATGTAAGCAGAGCAGTCTGCACAAACAGGAATCCAAGCTAGGCTTAGGAATGGGCTTCTGGGAAGGAAAAAACAAAACAGGCCATATTCTGCAAGCCTTTTGAATCGATGAGATCGCTGGTGAAAACAGTATCCACACAAAACCGTAATTAATCAATACCATGCCAATGCAAGGTGATACAGAATTGTATTCATTCCTTGATTTCTATATTTCAGAATTGTAGTAGTTTATAGATATCTGGCCAAGGTGAATGTCATATTAAATTTATAAGGACAAAAAGCTGGAACCGTTGGCAAATATAATACAAATTGTCATCATTTAAATACACACAAAAAATTATATTTGTTATGTATATTCAAGAACAATATCTCTGGGCATATTTATATTTACCTAGCAATTAAATTAAACCCTGGATATTGAAAAAATAGCGCCATCAAAATTATAACATAAAACTTGAAAATACACACCATAAAGAAATAAAAAAAAGAAATGCCAAAAGCTAACCATGACAACTATAGGGACTACTGGATTCTGAACTAGATGCTATTGCTATAAATGATGTCATCAGGACTGTAGGGGCCAAGGGAAAACTTCCCCTTTGCGCTCTGAAAGTTCTTTTTTTTTTTTTTTTTTTTTTTGAGACAGAGTCTGGCTTAGTTGCCCAGACCAGAGTGCAGTGGCGCGATCTCGGCTCACTGCAAGCTCCTCCTCCCGGGTTCACGCCATTCTCCTGCCTCAGCCTCCCGAGTAGCTGGGACTACAGGCGCCCGCCGCCTCGCCCGGCTAATTTTTTGCATTTTTAGTAGAGACGGGGTTTCACCGTGTTAGCCAGGATGGTCTCGATCTCCTGACCTCGTGATCTGCCCACCTAGGCCTCCCAAAGTGCTGGGATTACAGGCGTGAGCCACCGCGCCCGGCCGCGCTCTGAAAGTTCTTTAAACAATCTACTGACAAAAGGCAGATTAATAGGGAAAATGGCATACACATTTATTAGCACGCATAGGGGAAATCACAGAGTGATTGTCCACTATCTCAATGGGGTACAGATGGTTATATCCTCTTCATCTTAGGGGAAAGGGAGATGGGGAAGTGTGCATGATTTTAGGGGACTAGTAAATTATTTTTAGGGAAATTCAATGGGCTTGCAGAACACACAATGAGCTGGGACAAAGTCTGTTGGGCCCACAGGGCAGACATTGGCTTGTGACAAAAGTCCGTCCAGCTGTGTTAACAGACTTCAGTCTTCCTTCCTGTGGTATGGGTACAATTAATGAACACTCAGGAAAGGGACCAGAGGTCTTTTTCTTCGGTGGGTCTGGACGTAGGCAGATAAGGGAACGTCAGAAAACTACTTCATCCTGTGCTTTAGACAGACAAAGAATGGAGAGACAGGAGGGAGAGGAGAGGCCAGAGAGACCTTGAGGCTTCTTCACAAAGCTTCGTATTTGGGGGGTATTGGATTCTGAACCCCAACAGGACAATTGTTGAAACTTGAATAGGGTGAGAAGATTAAACAGCGGTCACATGTCAGCATCAACCTAATGACTAGACACCTGCCATTCCCAGCTCACAGAAATGTAAACTGCTTTGAGTGGGAAGCTGCAAACAAATACGTATTTTGTTTGAGCCTTGGAGGAATTCAGTAAGTACTTCTTGCCTTCCTCCTCCTTCCTTCTTAGGACATCCATGGGAAACGTTTTCGGTTCGTCTAACATGTTCTGGTCTGGAAAGCATCACAACCCTGTGAGAAGCATAAAGGACATTTTATTCTTGTCCCTGAGTAGGAGAGTATTTGAGAAGGTTTTGTTTCCTGCAGCCCTGGGGTTTTCTCAGAGGAGGGTCTATAAACATCCGTTCACAGTACCTTGGATGTGATTCTCTTTCAAAGCATTCACGAGGAGCCTGGGGCCAGGTTCCTTCTGTGCTTGGCTGGCTTTACCCAGATACAGCTCGGGGACACTGATGTTATAAGGTTCTCTAGTGCCAGTCTCGTCTCCTTTAGATTTACAGCTTTCAATTCTAGCACAATGTAACCTCGAGGCAGCTACCGGGTATATCAGAGCCTTCCACAACCTGGAGTCTGTTTCTCCTGGAGTCTCTTTCTGCCATTGACTATCCATCTGTAGGAAAAAAAAAAAAAAAAAAAAAAATCCCCGCAGTTGCAGATCAGTGTAGATGGGGATAAAAGTGAAAGTGCTTTGTAAACTGTGGGGTGGGGAGCTTTTACTGGGTCTCGTTCACAAGCAGCCATTTCTCCCATCACGGAGGTGTTCCCAAAAAATCACCCAGGGGAATCGATTCCCACACCAATCATGGAGAAAACCAGAGAACTATTCATCACAAAGATTAAGGCCCTTTTTTAATACCCAGACCCTATGAAATAAAAACAAGTCAACGTGGCTGTTTGGGTGGCTAGAGAAAGAAAGAGACAAACATTACTTTAGCATTGTCCACACATTCAATTGTACTATGGCGTATTTACAGACCAGACTCTTAGGAAAACAGGGATGAACAAAACAAACAAGTACCTGCCCTAGAAAAGTTTACCATCTGGCCAGTTACAGTGACTCACTCCTGTAATCCCAGCACTTTGGGGGGCCAAGGCAGGTGGACCACCTGAAGTCAGGAATTTGAGACCAGCCTGGCTGACATGGTGAAACAATGTGTCTACTAAAAATACAAAAATTAGCCAGGGGTGGTGGCAGGTGCCTGTAATCCCAGCTCCTCAGGAGGCTGAGGCAGGAGAATCACTTGAACCCAGGAGGTGGAGGTTGCAGTGAGCAAAGATTGTGCCATTGCACTCCGGCCTGGGTGAAAAGAGTGAAAATTCATCTCAAAAAAAAAAAAAAAAGAAAGAAAGAAAGAAAAAAGAAAAGTTTACCATCTGATAAAGGAGAGGCAGGTAAATATGTACTAGGCACAGAACACAGTATCTGAAGCCACTGCGTTATAGTTCATTTCCTTCCATTTTTACTATGCTAGAGAAGAGATTTTATTACGCCCATTTTACTGATGAGGAAATTAGAGATCAGAGAAATCAATACATAAAATAATTTCTTTAAAAGCACCTAATGTAATAGATTGCTTTGCAGCTTTTAGTTCTGTGGTTCCTCTCTACTTCCTACCCCACACGTATTCCACTAGTGGCCAGGACCTGGGTTTGACTTCAGATGTCCTGCTTTTCTTATTTGCCCTGCTGGGGCAAAAAGGGCTGCCAGACCTCTCTGGGATTCGGAGCAAACAAATTATCTAATGGTCTTAGATGCTGATAGAATGATTAATCAATTCTGGTATTCAAGTGAGTTACCTCTAATGCATAGGAAACAACTATATCTATTCAAATTCAAAATAAGACCTCCAGAATTCAAGACTCTATATTTACAATTTTAAACCTCTAATTATCTGTGCTTTCTGATTTTTCTGCTCTAGCCCTGTAATAGAGTAGTTAAGCTGACACTTTCTTGCTATGGGAGCGTGGCTAAGCTATTTCACTTCTCCGAGCCTCAGTTTCCTCATTTGTAAGTGTGAGAGACGGTGTCCATGAGCAACAAAACAAAGAATATGTATAAAGCCACGGGCACATAGTCTGCACCCCATATAGGTGACTGTTGTCATTTATCACCGTGAATCATGTGTTGTCATTTATCACCATGAATAGTGTGTAAGGTCATGGATTTCAAGCGGGAAACTGAAAAGTAATTCCTAGTGGGAGACACCTAAAACTCTTGGAGTATGGGTTTCAAATATGAAAGGCAAGGGAACAACAGCTTTCCTAGGGCAGCACTGGGTGTCAGGCGAAGGCAGAGTCACCCCTCAGAAAGAAAGTAGAAAGAACTGGTGCATTAACACTCCTGAGACATGATTCGAATTTCTATTTTTTTCTTCTTTTTTTAAAATAATTTAGGTTAGAGACAGAACCTTGCTATGTTGCCCAGACTTATCTCCAACCCCTGGCCTCAAGTAATCCCCCCATCTTGGCCCCCAGAAGTACTGGGATTACAGGCATGAGCCACCGCCCCAGCCTCGAATTTCTAAATAATGACATATATTAAAAAATAATAAAATCTCAATTAACCATGAGGTCTGAGCCCTGAGTTATGTTACAAGAATGTGGGGGTTGAGTGAGATTTGCCCTTTGCCAGTAAGCATTTTTTATATATAGTTAATGCGCTTCCTACTATGAAGACCTAGGACTGGGCACTCTTTACCCCCCTCTCCACATCACTCCATATGCCCCAAATTCCCTGTCCCCCATCATCCTAATATGGTTATTACTCAATTTTTTAAAATCAAATCTGTATAGGAGTTCAATCATTATGTGGATATGATTCTTTCTTTTTAAAAGGTGAACTGTGTACATTATGGACATTATGGATACCTTTATTTATTTATTTATTTATTTATTTATTTAGGCAGAGTCTCGCTCTGTCGCCCAGGCTGGAGTGCAGTGGCACGATCTCGGCTTACCGCAAGCTCCGCCTCCCGGGTTCACGCCATTCTCCTGCCTCAGCCTCCCGAGTAGCTGGGACTACAGGCGCCTGCTACCACGCCCGGCTAATTTTTTGTATTTTTAGTAGAGCGTGTTAGCCAGGATGGTCTCGATCTCCTGACCTCGTGATCCGCCCGCCTCGGCCTCCCAAAGTGCTGGGATTACAGGCGTGAGCCACCGCGCCCGGCCACCTTAATTTATTAAATCAATCTATTCACATACTGTTTTTTCTCCAATCTTTCGCTATTGTAATGAATATCCAATATTTGATCCATGCTTTGAGCACATGTAGGAGTGCTTCTGGAAAATAAATTCCTAGAAGTGAATTTGCTTTAGTAGATGTTGCCACATTGCCCTCTAACAAGGTTACATGAATTAATATTTCTACGAGACTTGAGAGTGCCTCTTCCTTACACCATTGTCAACACGGTGTGTTAGCAAACATTTTGATCTTTGCCATTCACATAGGTGACTGTTTTCTATTTTAAGAGTTTGGGTGAGCATTACTATGTTAGTCATGTGTCCTAAGGATTGCCTGGTCAGGAAAGGGGATAATGAAACAATTTAAAAATCAGGCACAAGTGGCCGGGTCTGGTGGCTCATGCCTGTAATCCCAGCACTTTGGGAGGCCAACGCGGGCGGATCACTTGAGGCCAGGAGTTCGAGACCAGCCTGGCCAACATGGTGAACCCCCCCTCCTACTGAAAATGCAAAAATTAGCCAGGCATGGTGGTGGGTGCCTGTAATCCCAGCTATTGGAAAGGCTGAGGCACGAGAATTGCTTGAATCAGAGAGGAGGAGGTTGCACCAAGCTGAGATGGTGCCACTGCACTCCAGCCTGGGCAACAGAACGAGATTCTGTCTCAAAAATAAAAATAAATAAAAATCAGGCACAAGCTACTGTGTCTGAAACAAAAAGGGGCTGAGGGTTTGAAAAGAGAAAAAAAAAATCTAAGGGACATTAAGATGGGATAGAGGCACAGGGAAGACAGATGCTTTACAAAGACAAACTCACTGGAAAGGAGCTCATCTTCCAGGGTAAAGTTTCCAATGCCGATTAGATAACCATAGGGAGATAAAAACAAATGGAAATTCAGAACTGGAAAGAAACATCAGAACTTACAGTGTAAACGTGGAGTGCCTGAAAACGTGTGAGTGGAAAGGACACCTAATGGGAAAAATAAAAACTCTACTTCTCAGGATTGGGAGACGCCAACCTTCAGTGGCTGAGAGAGGCAGGTGAACCAGCAAAGGAACTAGTTCCATCAGGGTGGGTATTCAGCAGGAACCTTGGAGCAATTGCAGAGGAGTGCGTATGCTCAGAAGTTCTTTAGCTTTCATAATGTTCAATTCTTCATTTATAACTACTAAAGATCATGACTTGACACTGTTAAAACACACAGTTGTGAACAACAGTTCTCAGAAAAGGAATTTTGAGGAAAGACTTTATTCCAGTTAACAGTTTGCAAACCAGGGAAACACAGCCTCTGGTGTAAAAGGAAGGTGTATTCCAGAGAAGAAAGGCAAGGCTCAGGTTTTACAGCAAAAGTTCCCACCCAGGTTTCCAATCAGGTCTGTTTACGTAAATAAAGGATTCAAATTCACTTAGTTCTGATTGGTCGATACAGCTGAACCCTGATTAGCTGATACAGCCGAGCCCTGATTGGTCATTACAGCTGAGCCCTGATTGGCTGAGGCAGATCTCAAAGATAAAAAGGTGTGGGTTTTCAAGGAACTCAGAGGATGTGTGTGACCCCCTAGTCAGTAAATGGCCACTTGGCCCTATTTTAAATTTAGACCCAGTTAACCACTGAGGACCCATCTTGAAGGACTGGCTCTTTCAGGGTCACATTTGTTCTCATAGTATATTGAATTATAAATCTTATCTAGAGTATAGAGTTGCCTTGCCCAAACACAAGCAATTTAATGTCTCCAAGCCTGTGGGTAAAGGGAGTTTATAAAATCTACCTCATGTCTTTGTCACGTGCATTGAACAAGATGACCATGTGAAATGTTTGGCCCATGACTGCACTTAGTAAATGTTGACTATCCTCAATTCATCTGCACGGATTACTATCCCCATTGTACTGATGAAGAAACTGAGGCTTGAGAAGTCACATGACTTTCCCAAGACCGTCAAAATATAACAGCAATAACCACAG